AGGTGTTCCCATTGCACTTAACACTTAGGAGATTCCAAGGGCTTGGGGAGCTGTGAGCCAGGAACCCTGGATGGAACCAAAGTATCTATGATAAACCACAGTACCACTCACACTCTGCCCGTTCTGGATGGAGGCTGCCCTCTGGTTATCTTGATGTCCTTCCAATGGTTTTTCTCGAGGTTTTTCTCACTTCCTCGATGTTGTCATCCTTTCTGATGACTTCCAAAGCTGTATCATTAGCCCATATCTGTACATCCTACTGTCTCCTAGGCTGTGCTATCGGGCTGTCCCTCTGGGACCGCCAAAGCACACCTCCAAAATTTAACTTGACACCTTTCTCTCTAAGCCTGTTTTTCCACTGTCACCATTCAGCTCAACCTAAAGCCCAGATGTCTTCCTAATTGGCTCGTTCTCCTTCACCTTCCACCCACGATGACTCATCAAGTCTTGCCAACTTCTCTCCTCCAGGGAATTCTCTCCGTCCCCATAGCCCATTGTGGTTTCTAAACCTGTTATTTCTATAGCCTGGTTGTCCTGCCCCTGATACCTGTAAAAGGGTAACTTTTCTCAAGCTCAGACCAGATGAGGTCATTTCCCTGATGAAAATCCGTTAGTGGTACCTCATTTTACTCAAAAGATAAAACCAAGCTTTATTCCTCAAAAACTAAACATAGAATTACCATATGACTCAGCAATTCCACTTCTGGCTATATACCAAGAAAACCCAAAAAAACTAAAAGCAGGGGCATGAGCAGGCATTTTTCCACCTGCGTTCATAGCAGCACTATTCACAATAGCCTCAAGGTGGAAGCAACCCAAGTGTCCGTGGATGGATAAATAGATTAACAATGTAGCATAGACATACAACGGAATAGTGCTTGGCCTTAAAAAGGAATAAAATTCTGCAGCATGCGACACATGCTGCACCATGGATGAACTTGAAGACATTATGCTAAGTGAGTTAGCCAGTCACGAAAGGCCAAATACTAGAGCAGTCAGATTCGTATTTAACTTTCTATAGACTGTAGAATGGTGGCTGCCTGGCGTGGGGAGAGGGCGGAATGGGGAAGAAGTATTTGATGGGCACGAAGTATCACTTGAGGGAAATGCTAAAAGTTCTGGAGATGGATGGTGGTAATGGTTGCACAGCCCTGTGGATGTACCCAACGCCACAGAACTATACACTTAAATATGGATAAATGGTAAATTTTATGTTATGCATATTTACCACAGTAAAAATAAAAACAAACAAAAAACAACCAAGCTCCTCACCATGGCATACAGGTCTTTGTGGATAGTAAAAATAAAAACAAACAAAAAACAACCAAGCTCCTCACCAAGGCATACAGGTCTTTGTGGATTAGCACCCCATGCACAGCTCTCAGCACACCCCTAACACTGTCTCCTACAGCTCTCAGTCCTCAGAAGAAGTCAGCAGGTGGCCATTCAGTGGCCGGAAGTTTTCACACCCTACCCCTTGGTATGGTGTTCCCCCTCCTGACATGCCCTTCCCCCACTCCCTCCTCCCACCACCTCTCCTCTTCTCACAGCCCCTGACCAATTCTTTTCACTTTCCTTCTGCATTTCAGCAAATTCTCTGCTGCTTAGTTCGCCCCGGCACCCCAGCCCTTCGGTTGATCTTCTAGGAAGTGGTTACCCATGTTCTGAGTCTCTTTGATGTTGTCATTCGTCATCTCTGACTGTGGCAGGAGGGTACCAATTTCTCCTATGAGGTCCCCCACCCTCACCCGCACTCTGCCAGCCTTCTCCCTGCACCCAGGCTAACAACCACATGCTTGTTCCTCTGTCAAGTCTAAGGCTCAATTCTCAGTGTATCTCAAAATTTGCTTTCATAGTCAATAACCTGGGATGCAGAAACAAATCCGCTTTGCACACTCCCCTTCAGTTGCTCTTAGTCATAGAAATAGCTTTGAACTTTAGTCATGTAGATGTCCAGCAAGTCTCAGCAACCTAAGTTAATGTGTTAGAACAACAGGCATACTTAAAGCAAGATAGGAATTGTTTTACAAATAAAGCAGGGAAAGAAAATGTCTAATACTTTCTTTTATCAGGATTTAGACTAACTTAAAACATTGATTTCTGTATTCATTATAAGTTATACTGCAGAAATCCCAAAGTCTTAGAGGCTAAAACAAGGAAGGGTTTATCACCTAGCCAGTGTGGCCCAATGGTTGAGCATCAACCTGTGAACCAGGAGGTCATGGTTCAATTCCTGGTCAGGGCACATGCCTGGGTTGAAGGTTTAATCTCCAGTGGGGGGCGTGCAGGAGGCAGCCAATCAATGATTCTCTCTCTCATCACTGATGTTTCGATACCTCTCTCTCTCTCTCCCTTCCTCTCTGACATCAATAAAAATATTATTTTAAATAAGTAAATAAATAAATAAAATAAAAACAAGGGTTTATTTCTCACTCAAAATTACACGCCCTTCATGGGTTAGCTCTATGTTGTATTCATTCCAGGAGGAAGGAACAGCCCATATTTGGTGTATATGTTTTTGTGGCAGGAAAAAAAAATGGCAGAATACACATGGCTTCTGAGATTGTCGTCACTTTCACTCTCCTTTAATAGGCCAAAGCCTAATGTCAGTGGGCAAGGCGATATAATTCTGTCATTTCTACGTAATAATTGGAAATAATATAACCTGTTTCAGACCATACTCTTTCTTATAAGTATTTATTTCCTTCCCTTCAGCCACAAAATATACTCATCCCCTCCCCAAGGGAGACACCCTAAAAGTCCCATCCAATTATAACATCAGACTTGAGATCTAGAATCCCAGGAGATACAGCAAATGTGGGTGTGGCTTCTCTTAGAGACATGTGAACTAAAAAATAAAAAAATAAAAAAATGGGAGCTATGTAGCAGTCTAAGACTCAGCAATTCTGAAATCCTGTTGGACAGACCTTGGGGCGAGGAATATTCTTTTTTTTTTAATTAAATCTTTATTGTTCAGATTATTACAGTTGTTCCTCTTTTTCCCCCCCATAGCTCCCCTCCACCCGGTTCCCACCCCACCCTCTGCCCTTACCGCACCTCCCCCACTGTCCTCATCCATAGGTGTACGATTTTTGTCCAGTCTCTTCCTGCACCCCCCCCACCCCTTTCCCCCTGAGAATTGTCAGTCCACTCCCTTTCTATGCCCCTGATTCTATTATATTCACCAGTTTATTAAACCCTCATTCTGCATCCTGGAATTTCAAGCATAATGCCCAGCTTCACCCTGTGGGGGATCCAGCCTTTTCCACTCCCTATACTCATCTAATGAGGACATTGGAAGTTGTGTCCTCCCTGGGGTCTATATAGCTTCTCCTCATAGTGCTTATGCCCATAGAAGGTTGGGAGCCCACAGATAATAGGGTTATAGAGTCTTTTAACTCTAGGCCATTGGCTCTTGGCCAGTACAGTTCTCTCCAAAACTTAGTCATCTTTTTATCTATATGATTCCAATTGGTTTATACTTATAGCCACGTCCACAATTATCTTTGAGACACACTTCTCTCTAAACTTAACAGCCAGCTTCCTGGGAGAGTCACCTCACACATTCAGAGGTTTTGACAAGGGACACTTGGATTTGTTTGAATAGGCCTGTATTGTTATTTAAAGCATTTCTCCATTTTATCTCTTCCTAGTTGGAGGTGAGAAATAACTATTATCTTTCCTGCAAGTCCAGGAATTTCTGTGTTGTGCCTAGTCCTGGCTTGCAAACCAATCAATTCTTTTCTGAGCTCATCTCTTTCTTGTAGCACCCTGTCAGATGCAACCATTTGCAACCAGAGTGCTGTTTCCCACACTTTTTCCCCAAAGCCACAAAACCATTCAATAGGGATCTGTCCTACAAGTTACCACAGGCAATGATGTTACCAAGTGTTTTGCTACTGCATAAGAAAGGTGATTTTCTTTCGAGCCTCCAATAACAGTTTTCTCATTTCCCACTGCCTTGCCCTGGAAGCCATACATCATACTTTAGAATTTTTGTAATGGTAGTCTGTCATTTCTACATAATAATTTCTGTATTGTTTACTTAAAGCACGTTATGCTATGGTAGTAAAGAAGCCCAAAATCTCTATGGCTAATGACAAAAAGGTGAGAAAGAAGCATCAATCTGCTGATCCCACTGGGGATCAAGCCACAACCCGGGCATGTGTCCTGACTGGGAATTGAACCATGACCACCTGGTTCATAGGTCAGCGCTCAACCACCGAGCCACATCAGCTAGGCAAAAAAGGGCTTTTCTTACATTATTTTTTCTTTTAGGGGATATTTGCAGGGATTTTCCACTGTATCCTCATTCTAGGACTCAGACAGAGGTACAGGCCCTACCTAGGGCATGCTGTTCTCATGGCAGAAGAAAAAGAACAAATGATATAATCACACAAGGGCTCGTAAAGCTCTCAATGGACGGTGGCATGTGTGACTTCTACTCACATTTCACTGGCTAAGAAAGTGACAGAACTGAGCCTGATGGAGATGCAGTGGGAAAGCATAATGCTGTCACCAGGGAAGGGCAGAGCATGACCGGGGAATGCTGCACCTCCCTTCAGCTGCTCTTTCATAAACACAGCTTTGAAACTTGCATTTTTATCTTGTTTAGAACGAGATACGTTGCTCATAGCAAGCTGGGAATTGCTGGCTTCTGGGGAGATCATAAAATTTTTAGAGACATATGCATTGTCTGAAGTAGGACACAACCCCCAAGTATACAGGGGTGACAGCAGATGGCTGGATGAGTAGGAAACCGAACTAGCAGGTGGCATTTTTTTTCTCCAAGAGTCTCAGTGGAGGGGGATATGTTGTGCACACACGGTCTTCCCAATAAGTTCACAAGTATGCTTGGAGCTGAACGTGATGGAGAACTGCTCATCTGATGTTCCGAAAAGCTGGGACAAGTTTCTATAAAAGGGCTTAAGGGTCATGCCCCAAGCAGAGTTCTCACCCCCATGTGCCCAAGCCCCTCTTACTCCTCTTTATCTTCACAGTTTGACATGCAAAGGATAACTCTGGAAGAGTTGAAGCACATCCTCTATCATGCCTTCCGGGACCACTTGACAATGAAGGACATTGAGAACATCATCATCAACGAGGAGGAGAGCCTGAATGATACCTCGGGGAACTGCCAGACAGAGTTTGAAGGCGGTAGGTACCCCTGTTTCTGCTTTCTCCCTGGTCTGGGATGGGCCAACGCCTTCACATCCTCTGTATGAAAAACATGTTGACTGTCTCCTGGGCTGGAATTGCCTTGTGCCAAAGCCACAAATCCAGGACTGAGGTTAAAAGATCCTTTTGGTAAAGATGCAATTGGTTTTTGTTTTTTTTCTATATTTTCCCCAAACTCTGCATTTTTGCAAAACCTCCGTTGGCCCTGTCCTTCCTCCAGTGACTCTGTGGTCTGTGACCAGATATGTGGCTTTGTGGTGTTTGCCTTGACTTAGTGGGGGCTGCACGGGGTGGTGGAAAGGGCCTGTCTAGGCTGTCAGTAAATCTAGATCAGTTTCCGTGGCTAATTGTGTGACTTGGGCAAGGAGTGTGCCTTCTCTGGGTGTGTTTCCTCATCTATGAACATCAAGATAATTACGCCTCCTTCTCAGGATCTTTAGAAATGGAATGCCTCTATGCTGTGCTCCCCGAATGCACTCGCCAAAAAGAGCCCTATTCATGAAAGGACTCCTGTGAGCTTAGTGAAGTAGTTACAGAAGAATAGGTTCCCCTGGGGCCAAGAAAGAGACCCCTGACAGGCCACTTTTCTTGGGCTCATGAAAGAAAACAAAAACAGCCTACCTTATCCCCCAATCAGAAGAGAGTTCCAGGGAAGCTTAATGATCTGATCCCTCTTTCCAACGCTGAAAATCAGAACTGCTTTAACAGCTCCGAAATGTAGAATTTTTAAAATTCCATTAAAGCAGCAAAGCAGACTTAACTTACTCGACGGTGAGATTTCTTACAGAGATCAAACTGTTTTTTCCTATTCTTTTTTTCCTGAACATAGTCAGAAGTTAATATCTACAGATGGTAAGCTATATAATTGTCAATATATACAAGACAATATATACAATGGGGCCTTGATTTACGAGTTTAATTCGTTCCGTGACGGAGCTCATAACTCAAATTACTTGTATGTCAAATCACTGTGACATTCACTGCGCCAACTAGCGGTGGGGTATCTGAAGCTGGCTCGTAAGTAACCCGAATTTTAGCTCGCAACTAAAAGAAAAAAATTGGCCGAGAGACGGCTCGTATCTCGAAAAAACTCGTTAGTCGGGACACTCGCAAGTCAAGGCCCCACTGTATAAGAAGGTCACATAGACACTAGAATGGCATTTGGTTCCCTTGTCTTGGAGCTGACACATCAGAGCTGGCCGGACCATGGCAGGGAGGCTGCTTGGGGCTGAGCTGGTCCAAGTGGCCACAGCGATTCATTCAGACCTGCCCTCTCTGCCCCCAGCCCTGCCTGGACTGCACTGCTAGGTCAGCATGAAAGGCCATGACAAGAGGAAACAGGAGATGGCTTGTACTCCAAGGTGACAAATTAAATGAACTCAAACCAGGGAAATGGGGCATGGTAGGGACTGGGGTGAACTTGAGAGCAATGCCTCCTTGGAAAGACATTCAAATTGAACATGTTCAGAAGTGCTGTGGACAGCCAACAGAACCCAGCTGTGGTCCAGAGCTGCCCTGGTCTCCTTTGTGACCTGGGCTGTAGCGTCTATGACCGTATTTGGAGTTGGAGCCACACAGACCACACAGGGCAACATGTTCACAGCCAACCCATTTCCAGTCAGGCAGGCGAGGGGACTGGGAGGGTGAATAGAGGTTCGAGGGCAGGGATTGGACTATAACTGGGGGAAAAGCAGGCCTGGACTCCTGTTTCGTCTCTTTCCTAGCTGACAGACTATGTGCTCAAGTAGTGGAAGCATTTGGGGCTCCAGCCTCCCACGTCAGCAACACTCTTGACAAAGGAGGAAAGAGTATTTCTGGGCATCTCATTTTCTACAGGAGCCTCTGTTTGTGGATCACTGTTTTGTTCAGGGAAATGTCACAAGTCTTAGTAATTTGAGAAAGGTCAGACTGCACTGGGAAGTAATCTGAACTTTAAGCCATGTCTTTTTATTACTCAAAAGCTCATACATTAGTGAAATAAATGACTGACAAAAAGATTTCCAAATAGAAGTCTTACTGGGTCTGCTTTAATGATTCATACATATAACATTGGCAACAGCTATCATTTGGGGGTTGGTAAATGATAAGGGCCAGGCACTGTACTAAATGCTCTAAAATTCATGATCTTGTTTAATACAAGAAACATTATTTTGTAATTAGTACAGTGCTTTTGGAGTGATCTCTGTGACCTTGATTATATAATCCCTTTTGTATATTTTCATTTCAGAGAGTTGGTTTTTCTACACACACACACACACACACACACACACACACACACACACGTATGTACGTATATAAATATATACATAATCGGCACTATTTGGCCCCAAAAGCAAGCTCATTGGTTTGTGTTTAGGTTTAGATTTTTTCAGTCTCAGATATGATTGTACTGTGGGCAAAGTTGTCTAGGAAGAGATGATGCACAGGGACTGAGTTCACCCCTGGTGCCCCAGGACTGAACAAGTCTATTTAAGACCCTGTGGTTGAACTTGACCTCCTCCTTCCCCTCTTTCTTGCACTACTGCTTTCCACAACAGGGACAAGTTGGCATTTTTAACCTCTCCCTGCTCCCGACAGCAATCTGATGGCACAGTGGCATGGCTCATGCCTTCTAAATCTCCTCACCCTCCTCCCAGCCCTTAGGCCCTCCTCTTCCCCAAGCTATCAACTCCTTGCTGTCCTTTCTTGCCCTGGCTCAGGCAGCATGCCCTGTTCGGACATTGCAGCCATACCCTTGCCAACATTTCTGATCCCTCACCCACCTACCAGCTCCCAACATGCCAACTCTAAGTAAATCCAGCATCGAAATCTGAAGGCACCAGGTGGTTTCTTCTTTCAAGTGATGGCCTGCGTTTCTCCTTAGATCTAATCTTCATCACCCACATTGACCAATGAGAGGGAAGGAAGCAGAACCCCACCCTTCTACACCCAGACTCCAGAGCCCCAATCAGGCCTCCTGTCTCTTGCTGCTCCCCACCCAGGAAGCCCTTTCCTCCTGCTCTTATTGGAGCTTTGCTGTGGCAAGTACATGCTCACCTATAGAGCCAGGGATCCACAGGCATTGGAAATCTTTCCCTATTTGATGTCAGAGGAAGGAATCAATGGTGAACAAAAACCTGAACGTGTAGGAGGTCTTTGCCTTAAAAAGGTGAAAGGGTACATTTGTCTGTGAGCAAGGAAGGAGGAGATGGTCCATGAAACAGATGTTTTGTGGCCAAGTTGGCATTTAAATAAAGCCCCCATTCCACGGCTGTGAGGTCAGCAAAGCTTGAGTCATGATTGAGATTCTAGAGTGTGGAAAAGGTTTGAAAATGTGTCCTTGGGCAACCTGTGTGCCATGGAGTCAGTTAGAGATTCATAGGGGATTTCCAAATGCCATCAGTATCATTTTATGTCAGTGATTATACTTCTACAAAGGTGTTCAGATTCTGTCCATGAAGTCAGGAAATGTTGATTTTTCCTCCCACATGAATGAATGAAAAACAGAGAAATAAGCCAGGAGCCCTGGGGTGTGGAGTCATTGGTGGGAGAGGTTTGGGGTTTTTTGTCCTCTTAGTTCTCATTTTGGCTTAATTTTAGCCAATAGGATATTTGGCTAAAGTAGGAATTCCAGGCAATCCCAATCCCTCAGATCTTTTTTGAATTCTTTTATTAAGATAACCTACGCTTGATGTAGTTAGGTGTTAGTTGGCAAATTTGTGTTATAATTATTTTGAAAAATAAATGGGTCCATATACACCAAAATGGGTTAAATACAAGAATATGTGACTACCCACGATGCCCATTCAGTGTCCATGCTACATAAGAGGAGTTTTGAGGTGTTTTTCTTTAGTTCAACCACTTGTGGTCACCAGACATTTAGTTTTTGGAGAACAAAAGCTCTGTGACACTGAGAGACAGATTCGTATCTTATTATTTGGTTGGAGTCATATGTGCAACTGAGTGGGCTTACAGTTGAGTTGTCTATTTGCCTGTCCCTGATCCTTATTAAGGATTCTTATGACAAATTAAACTATATGCGCAGTTTGGTAGTAATTGCTTCCATTGTTTACTGCTTCGTCCCTATTGATGCAGTCCAGGAAGAAAGGGGTGGAAGAAAACTGGTCAGCATGCTGACCAAGGGCTGGTCATTTGTTAATACCTTCCATTGACCTGTCAGCACAGTCTGAGCGATAAGTTCTGTGGCTGCTGTGGTTCAGATGAGGATACTTAGGCTCAGCAAAGTGGAGTAATTTGTCCAAAGTCAAATAGAAAGTCAGGATTTGAACCCAGGTCTACATGATAAAGTCCTGCCCTGACCTCTTCATTGTCGGGGCCATTTCCTCAGGCGTAGGCATTACAAATTCTCCTTAGAGAATGCAGCTTCAGCATCTTTTCTCGTTTTCCATTCCATCACCCATGAAATCATATTATATTTGGAAATTGAGTAGAGATGCAGCAAAATCTGTGTGTGAGCCCTTTCAAGACACATACCGAAGTGTTGTCCCTAAATGGAACACCAGCTGTCAGATTTTTCTAGACATTCTGAGAACATGCGCAGGAGAGGAAGTGAAGAGCATCAACTGGGGAGTAAGTTTCTGTGAAAGACAGCAGAGCTGCTCTGTACCATTCAGTGCCTCAGTCTGAGGGACAAGAGGAATGATGGCAAAGGAGGTGACACAGGCCAGGTAGTCCCAGAGGATCCCTGTGCAGACCAGTGGGTTCTGTTCCCCGACCTGTGTAGACTAGCTGTGTGACAGTGATTCTCGAAGCCTTATTTTCCTTATCTGTCCAATGCAAAGATTGGACAGCAACAGTCATATCTAGATTCCAAATTGTCTAGGCTCAGTGGAAGGTCAGAAAAAATTCACGGCCAAAGTCAAGGTCTCCAGCTCAGCCATCCTGCTGAAGTTGCAATGTTCCTGTCTGGGTGTCAAATGCACACCTGGGTGGGGAGACCTGGGTCATCACCTGGTCGTGCACATTGGGCATTTCATGCC